GTGTGTGTGTGTGTGTGTGTGTGTGTGTGTGTGTGTGTGTGTGTGTGTGTGTTACAAAGTCATGCAGGGTTGTGGATCAGCCCATGCAGCAGGGGTTGGGTCTTATTGCTTTAAATCGCTCCAGGGGTACAGGCCATGTTTTTCGTCGATAGATGGGTTATGGTTTGGGTTGTGTGTGTGTGTGTGTGTGTGTGTGTGTGTGTGTGTGTGTGTGTGTGTGTGTGTGTGCGTGTGTGTGTGTGTGTGTGTGCATATTTAGACCTCACCAGTGCTATTAGAGTTGGAGAGATGAACACACAGCTCTCCAGGCAACACACACAGACACACACACTTAGTCTCCGACCCCCCCGGTGCTTCATTAGCAGGTCATTAGCAACAACTTCAGTGAAAGCTGTTTTCTTTGCTTCATTGAAAACACTCCATGTCATATGGATTCATTCTGCTTTTTATTACGGAAAATATGATCTAAAATGCTAATTTGGCACAAAATAGAACTCTAAAAGTGGTATTCTCTGGGATTGTTTCAACAAACCACACCACAATGCCAATGATTTGGTGTGAAGGATGACACTTTAAATCAGCACAAAAAAAAAAAAAGAACCATTAGCAAAGCATAATCCAGCTCCACTTCTGGCCTGTATACATTTTGACAACGTAACTGTATCACTGAAGTATGAAGTGAATGTGTGTTATTGAATATACACTTTATGCATGCGTTACATCACGTATGCATACGTTTGGTAAAAGTGCACTGTCGGGCGGCTGATAAAGCTTCAGCACCGACAGCTGGAGAGAGATGGAGAGAGATGTGAAGAGGCGGAGCAGCAGCAGGAGATAATGTCTGCTGCTGATTCCTTCCTGCGTGTCACCCTGTGAGAAAAACCCTGAATCTCCATCCTTCACTCTCGTCAGCGGCGTACAGGGACAGATTGATCACATTAACCACAGTCCGCTTCCCTTAATGCCCTCCTAAAAAATGGCAGCCGTTCAAATGTGCCTGCCCTGAACCAACATGGCTGCCGGCTGGTACAATGCCCCTGTATTTCTCCAATTTGGCCCCCGCCCAGCTTTCCACTCTGATTGTATGTCCCCCTTTAGGTTTGGGAGGAGAGATAGAGCGAGGGAGGGGAAGGGTGCCAATACAAACATTGTTCTGCTGGCTCTTTACAAGCCAGGAGAGTGGGGAAGTTAATAAGCAGGTATTGGTTTTTAACTGCGGCCCGTTTATTGCTTTGCCCTGGAGCGTGCTGGAGAGCTTTAGTCATCTTTTTCCTGTCCATCTGCCCATCATTCCCGTTCAATTCCTCCCTCTCCCTTTTGTCTTAAAATTAATTCACTACTACATTTTATGCTGAGGTGAATTAAAACAAAAACGATGTATAACCTTCCGCAGACTACTTAATGATGTGTCATTATGCCACTATTGATCCAGTGTTTTGCTAGTGTACTGTATTTAATGCTCCTCCTCAGTGCCGGTGTATATCCGCGTATCAATACTCGCACGCTTATTAAAAATGGGATGTCAGCCAGTCAGTGTAGTCCAGTTCCCACATGATGAATTGGATGAAGGTTTAATAAAGTACATATTGTGCTGTTGATCAATGTCGTCCGGGTTTTAATGGACAGTTTTAATTTTCTCTGCTCTCAGAAGCTTTTCAGCACTGCCAAGAATAAAAGGGAGTTTACTGGACACTCAACACTCCATTACTTCAAGTAATAAAGCATTTAATCTCAAAGCTGAGACCTGAGGCTTCTTACTTTGATGTTTAAACCTTTCATACATACAGTAAATCATGGTTATTATCAATACCAGGTTTATTAGAACAAGCTTGGGTATTGCCTTTCATGATACAAACAGACCTGATAGGGAGCTGGGAAGGAACTACTCAGTTGTAGCGAACTTAATAACATTAACAAAATCATTGCATTTAATTATAGCTGTTAAAGATTAAGGAACCCTTTGACTTGTATCTGTCCCACTCTGATACTAGCCTCGCAAGCAACTGCAATCCAAATGAAATAACGGATGCTTTTCAGACTTAAAACATGGTCCTCGAATGATCTGGAGCTTCATTGTGTTTCCATACCCTTTCCCTGAAGAACTCCTTATATTTCTTTACTTAAGCACCACCAAAACTGTTTATTTTGACCAAGTGCAGCACTAGGATTGCACTTTTTGTTTTATCTGAACAAAATTGCAATATGGAAAAGAGCAATACTTAAATAGCTTGATGCACAATATTTGTTAAATGCTAAATATGTGTTCAAATATCATTTTGATTGCACTATTGTGGATCTGCAGCTATATCCCGGCCTACAAGTCGTTTTCTACTTGACAACATATATTTGTCTGGTACAGATCCTCTTAAAGGAAATCCCACCATAATCATTTCATATATATAATGAATATTATGATTCCAAAATGATCAATCCCTCCAATATCATGACTGATCTCCATTGCAATATCAGTCAAATCAATCTATGCCCTATGCAGCACTCGCTATTTCTCCTTGACAATCAAGATGTGTTAGGACCAGACAAAGAAAAAGCCCCACATATAAGAACCAGATAGAGATGCCGCAGGAGAGAAGCTAGTGAGTAGGAGGGATGACCAGACGGAGCAGAGGGAGGAAGGGTTTTATGGTGTAGACGAAGGCGATTTCATGTTCCTATAATCCTGAAAGTGCTGCAGTATGTGTCCTCCCCAGGGCTGCTTCACACCTCCAACAAGGGATAAGTGACTAAATCTCACGGCACAGGAACACAAACCACATTCTTCTTCCACCAGCAATTAACACGGTGACTCTGTGCAAAAACAACAAGTTTGAACTCGGAAAATCGTGAACCGGAGCACAAATCCTGCGTACGGCTCTTTTGGGATTCACAGTATACACCCTGTCCTGCCCAGGAGGGCTATCCGCTGATCCAACCCACAGAAGCAAAGGCGCTCAACTGATGAGATTCCAGTTAGCCGGCGCAGCCAAGAGGAGAGGCGGGGAAGCAGCCAATAGCCATAGCAGAGGGGATCTAAGGGGCCTCTAAATATCCACCCAGGGCTAAGAGAGAGAAAGCACGAGCAAACACTTCCTGTATTGCTCTCCTGGGCAACAATAGAAGAGCAGACAGCATGAAAGAAAGGCAATACCACAGCATCAACACCTGGCTTTGGAGGCAAGCTCGTGTGCACGTTTCCAGATTAGCACACACACAAACACACAATTCTTAAAGTGTTTATAAACTCTAATTGTGCTGTAGAGCAGGGTCTCAATGATACCATATGAAGTTATCTGGCGTTAATTCAGGTCCTTTAACAGGCTGATCTCACGCACTGTTCACAGTCATACATTAAGAGACGTGCACTGTACTTAGCGCACTCAATTTGTAAACCAAATCAGGTTGGGATGGATGGGTGGTTCCAAAAAACACATTTCGAAAACATTTTCTAAAGATATTATTGTAAAGATATGTTTCCTAAACTAATGTTTTTCAGAGATTCGTCCTACTGTACTGTAAATCCGACCCCATCCGTGAAATTAAAAAGAGCTACTATACAATAACAGTACTGATACTAAATATTTGACGAGTTGTAGTCATCACGTACAATATATGGAGACTTATGGCGCATTTCCACCACACGGTCGGCCTCGGCCACGCTCGGTACTGCTTGGCCGCGTTGGGCCTTAACAGGGCCGGCTCACTTCATGCTGCGCTTCCATTACAGTTTAGGAACTGGGGTAGTTACTATAGTAACGCAGTGTAGGCGGAGCCGTGACGTCATCTTCAATGAGAACCCCAGAAAAACAACACAGCCGTTAGCTGTTAGCACTCAGAGCTCACAGCTCCTTATATATGTTCAGAAACTCGACAAAAGTTAAACAAGTACACACCACAGACTGCCTGTGTCATGGCGAATACAGTCGCTGCTTTATTTATATCTGTATAGGCCGTTGTTGTGAGTGTGGACGGTCGGAGCATATACTGCGTTAGCTTAGCCAATCTCCATCTAGAACACACGCATTTTAAAAGGTTTTTCGCCTGCCGTCTGTCTGCAGACTTGTCAAAGCATTAATTCATGGTTTTTACTAACCGGTATCAGTATGTTGTTACTTCGGCATCATTTTGAAACGTGTATTACAATTAAATCACGGTCAAATATGTCCATCTTGTTGTAGTTGTAGCCCCCTTGCCAGCGACGCTCTCTCTAGTTTAGCATACTCAGCCCTGTTTGTTGGCCCCGATAGAACCACAATTTTGTCGGGCCAGAAAAGAGGGCCGGGCCGTAACTAGGCCTAGTGGAAGCGCAACCAAAAACGGGCACGGCACGACACGGCACGCTTAAACCGCGCTCCGCGCCATGGTGGAAATGCGCCATAAGACTGAAGCAGCCACATTCATCTTTTAAATCATTTGCGCTTTGTTTGACAAATTAACTAAGGACACACAAAATAATAGAGTGTTTTCACTTTAAGGCTCAGTTTTAGTATCCCAGTAAGCCAGGAAACTGCGAGAGTGAGCCAACACGACAATATCAGAAACCTACTGTAGAAGTGAAGCAGCTAAAAGGAATTCATCCATCCTTCAACTTAAAAAACCCTTATCATGGGCTAAATTGTTTGACAAACTCACACCTGCAGCCAGTAGCTCACCTGCTCACACTTGTATTCACTTACTCACTCAAACGCTTGCAAATGCACTGCAAGACACTGATGCTCATACCAGTGTATTCTCACACACACACACACACACACACACACACACACACACACACACACACACACACACACACACACACACACACACACACACACACACACACACACACACCCACACCACACACACACCACACACACACACACACACACACACACACACACACACACACACACACACACACACACACACACACACGTTGTGCAGGGGCGGGGCCGCCTCAGGGTGCTGCTGTAAGTGTGTGATTAGAGGAAAAAGTCGGCAGAGGAGAATCCAGGACAAACACTCACCCCTGTTAAGGTCTTTATGTTATGCAGTGCATTCTGGGCTTCAAGGGCAGCTTTCCTTGTGTAAAACGTGACAAAACAGCAGCCTGGGGAGAGAGAGAGAAAAAGAGAGAAGGGGGGTGAGCATAAGGAGCAACAAAGAGCATTTTCTCTATTCATCTGCTTGGCATCACCTGTCGACACTGGCAGACGCCGAGTGAATGTTAAGGGCGACACATCCTCACGGAGAGGGAGGGAGAGAGCTTTTGGATTTGTTTCAACGCTGATGACTAGAGCCTCGAGGAAGTGTGCGCACAGAGCAACACATGCGCACAAACACGAACAATACAAATACACAGAGGAAGAGGAAGTGCTGCCTCTTCATTAATCCTCCAGTAATCTGTGAATAGTTGCGCTCATTCACTGAAGAAAGTATTTATTCAGTTATTTAGTGCTCACACACTCCCAGCTAACTAGTTCACACCCACGAGAGTCTGGCTAATTTAAAGACTTACTTCTAAGTAACTTACACTGATTGAATTAATTGCAGGTGAACGACTTGAAGAAGAAGGTAAAACGTTAAGGAAAATAAGAATGTTGAGTCAGCAGCACCTCATATTATTTATATCAATATATTTCATGAGTCTGATAGTCAGGATGTAAAAAAAACACATTTTTCTTTTAAATTTCGCCCGGTTTAACCTTGCCTGTGAACCAGAAAATTACCAAGCAAAAGCTGACTAAGTTGCTTACTCACTCACACACAGCAGGCTACAGTGGAAATGCACACACAAACACAGTGAAGGAGAGAGAGGGATTTGCCTCTTCTTTAATCTGTGTGTAATCCCTGCAGAGTGGGGCTGAAACTCCGCGGCTGCGGGTCATTCTGGGTCAGCACGCAAACCTGCACAGTCAGGCAAAAACCAGCAGGGGGGATATTTAGGCCAGACACAGAGGTGTGATTTTTCCCCTCACATAAAAAGCAGCGGTTGGAAACATTGTAAAAGTCACAGTATGGACTCTGTATTTATGTCCTCTTGACACTTTTGACATTCTTTTTCTAACAGCCAGAGGGGAATCATAACACAGGACTGCAGAGGAAGGATGAGGTTTGAGCCAACTATAACATATTGAGGATTCACTGGAAGAACAAATAGGAAGCCCTGAGATTCACCATGCATCATCAGGAACAATGGAAAGCTGGGTTTGAAGTGATGGCATGACCTTAAGCAAAGCATCTATCTCTGACTGTAAAGCTGCCTCATTCTGCAGAGGCGCAGAATGTGAAACAAGAGTTTTTACTAACATTAGTCTTTGGAGGCCCATAAATGTATTTGAACATATACACATAATGTAGGCAAGTATTTTTGATAAAGTCTCTTGAATTGAGTTACACATTGAAGTGACTAAGGCACTACATTTACACATTCTTACAGAACGTGGCAGAACTGGAAGGTCTTCAACCTACCTTTTAACTTGTAAACTCGGGGGGGAAACCCAATAACCACGGCTTTATGAACATGCTAACAACTGAAAGGCAACATAGATAGGTATAGATAGGTATATTTGCCTCTATTTACCTGAAATAAAACCTGTTTTACATGCACATTGATGTCAGAATATGCTTCCAAAGTTGGTTGGTTATTTGGGAAATTGTAAAAATGCCACAAAGAAAATAGGGAAATCTCCAACAGTTACTCTCTTTTGAAGAGGTTTGGCGTTATGCACCTGGAACACATTGCTTTTAACCACCATAATCAGTTTTTGATAACCTGGTGAGCTAGGTTAATCTACAGGTGATCCACTGGAAGATATGCAAGTACATTTGTTTTGGACCTCCTGCCTCCAACTTCTGCTAATTTCTCCATTTGGGTTTGTATTTATTTATCCAGAGATGAGCCAAGTGCGCCATTCTTTTTGCTTTGTTTTCCTCTCCATTGTGTTCATGGGACAAATAAACACAGTGTGAATGAGGCGTACTGGCGTCGGATTCGCTGCCCACATCGCAGACATCGGCCCCTCTGACACTCGCCCTGCAGTGCATCTTAGTGAAATCCAGCAGTGAGCATCTGGTGCGGATTTGGCATCCCGAATCCCAGCGTCCCTTTGATGGGGCTGGGGGCGTAATGGATCTGAATTCCTGGGGTGTCCTCTGGGTGCCACGGCTGTTGAAGAGTTGGCCCTTCGCCTAGCGTCAGCAACGTGATTGGAGTTGTGATTCAGAAGCTGCAGTGCCTGTGTATTAGCGGGATAACTCCCAGCTTAGTGTTTTTCCTCTATGACCCCCAGCGTGAAAGGCAGGGTGTCACTTCACTAAACCCTAAGCCCCCCACTCCTACTATCAGTATTAATTTACCAAGCGAGACTTTCACACCAGCTTCTCCTAGTTAAAGGCAAGGAGATAAGACGGGAAATAAGTCACGACTGGCTGACTATCACTGGGCGAATGTGTATACAATTTATTCCATGTAGGTCACCAAACTTATATGGTTTTTACACTTACAAATTTAAATTGGGTCCTAAAAAGTGTAGATCTCTGGCAGCTCTGCTTCATCTTTGGTCTGCGTAATTATGACTGGACTCACTAAAGATAAGGTTGAGGAACTGAGGTATGGAAATTCTTAAATCTTAAAGTCAAGTTACAAGTTAAAGCAATACTAAAAGAATATTACAAAAAAAAAAGTTGAAAGAACTTGGGTGAGGAATGGCCCCTTTTTTCAAATTATTAAAATCAGTTTAAATGAAAATGCTCAAAACTAAAATCTGAAACGTTACCTTTATATTTTCATATTGGAATACATTACTAATTCCCTAACCTATTTCATCTACAAAAAAGTGTTACAATAATCTGAATGATGTTTAGTGATTGAATGAAACAAAGATATTTTTTGTAGAATTTTTTCCTAACAACATAAATGTTCAAAATGTATTCAATTAAATGTGAAATGTTTAACTGCAAATTACCAAGGAGCTCCAGCTGTCAGATAAAAGTTTTCCCTCTTTTTTTTTAATATTGTAGAAGAGAAGTATAAAAGTAAATGTACGAAAACGCAAGATAAACATTTTCAAAGTACTCGAAAAACATATTTTAGTTCTAATTTATGCTACGTTACATTTCCAGGAACTAATAGGTGCTCCTTTTTCTGGGTTAGTCCAAATGCAAACAGTACTAAACTGTCTCTGCTAATGCCCAAAAGTTTTGCTAAAGTTGATCTCTACTATCTTTTAATGTTTAATTATCTGTGCATGGAAATAAAACTTCCTACCTGCCACTTAATATGCTGTCTGCACTCCATTTAAGCAGCTTTCCCTCCATAACAAGTGGCACGGCTGAATGGAGCATAGTTAATAACGACCGTACTGTAAAACTGCAAGCTGTTACTTCCTAACAGGTGAAACCAAACTGAGAAGAGAGTGACGAAGTTGTCAGAGAGGTGAGTAAGAAAAGTGAGAGTGTGCAGGTGTACCATGTGTGTGTATAAGGCCCACACTGCTATTGCAATATAATTCAAGATGGAGGGATTGATAATTTGTTATCATTATGATTGAAAAACATATCATGCGATTACTTTTTAAGAAGATCATAAAAAAAGATATATATTTTGTTAGGTCTGTAGAATGTGTCTTGCAGGCCGGGATGTCTCTGCAGCTCCATATTACTTCAAACATTCAGGGCGACTGTTGTTGAAGGTTGTCGGTTCGATGCCAGCTAGTGAAGTCAACATGTCGATGTATCCTTGGGCAAGATACTTAACCCTGAGTCGCTCCCTATGGCCAACGATGTGTGAATGTGTATGAATGTTATCTTCCCTAGAGCAAGTGTTACTGCTGCATGAATGAGGTGAGAATGGGTCGTAGTATGTCAAGCGCTTTGAGAGGTCGAAAATATCTGATAAAGCGCTATATAAGTACAGTCCATCTACCATTTAAAATATATTAAGCCTTTAGCAAGAGCTTCCTGCGGTTCGAATAATATTGTGCTTCCTGTGGTTGGAATATTGGACTAGTTTGTATATTGCAATTTCAATAACATTTCCATTAATTGTGCAGCTCTAAACACATAAAGTGGGTCTTTAGTCAAATTATAATTCAAATTGCAACTGTGTTAGGCCCCTTGTGTGCGAATAGCATTTCCAATAGTCCTGTATTAGTCTTAGCTTCTAGCTACGCCCTGTGAATTATGATTCCAGAGGCATTTTTGCCATATCTGTTCATGGGAGGGTTAGCTTTCAGCGTTAGCATTAGCGATCCTGACAGTGTATAATGTGGGGGAGGTTAGCTGTTAGCGCTGCGTTAGCCGCTGTGTGTTGTGATTCCCGCGGTGTAGCCGGGCCCCGGAGCCATGCGCCATGTGACGGATCGTCCCAGGTGGTGGGCTGTCAAGACGAGGATCAAAGAGCAGTGGAGTGGACCTCACACACACACACTTAAACACACACACACACAAACACTTTCCCTTCAGTGTTCCAGTCCCACCTGTTTAAGAGTCAGCACACTTGCAGCTCACACACACTGCAAGCCAATAAGAGCTTGCATATTATTTTCAGTCTGTGTCAGCGTGTGTGCTTTTTTATTTAGAGAGATATGTACGACAACCTTGAACAAGTACTAAAAAAAAAGGTTGTTCAGACTGCCATGAATAAGCTCTTTCCATCAATCTGTGTGCATGTGTCTGTTTTTTTTCTCGCAGCACAAACATTTACCTGAAGGCCGAGAGAGGCTCAGAACTGGGAGATACACTGAGCTTCTGCTGTTGAGGAGGGACACTCAAAAACACACAAACTCCAAGTAGAGAAAAATCTATCAAGACGCTGATGTTTGTGTGTGTAACAGGAAGAGTATAGCAGGGAGACAGAAGGAGAGGATGTGGGAAAGAAGGGGGGAGTGTTTGCGATACTAAAAGGACGAGAGAAGAGGTAGTTGTGAGTGGAATAGAGAGCAGAGGAGGGAGATGCCGGTTCATAAATGCTTCATGGCGGCTGAAGGGGGGGCCCTTTGACTGAGACATACCCTTGGCACCCTCCTCTGTCAACACATCTTCCCCCTCCAACAACACGTCGACCCCGGGCTTCAGCATAGGAGCCGAGGGGCGTTCACTCATGTTTAG